GTGTGTAGCCAGGTCGGTGTCGATAACAGCCTTACACCTCCCGGGCGAAGTCAATGTCGAGGCGGACGCACTCAGCAGAACCAGGGCAACCTCTCACAAGTGGAGGTTGAACCCCGACGAACTGGCCGGGATCTTCAGGGAGTGGGGCCTCCCAGCCGCAGACCTCTTCGCGTCGCCGCAAAACGCTCAGCTTCCTTAGTTCGGTGCTCGACTTGCTCCGAACACGGTACCGGGGTGTCTCGGAGACGCGTTCCTTCTGGACTGGTCGAGGCATCTACTTTACCTCTTCCCTCCCTTCCCACTCATCCCGAGGGTGATCGAGAGGATCCAGTCGGCGCAAACGAACTGCATCTTGATAGCGCCGGAATGGCCACGACAACCGTGGTTCTCGGTCCTTCTCCAGTTATCCGAGGGACGGATGAAGCGCCTTCCACTTCGGCAGGATCTGCTCTCCCGGGAAGACGGTCAGTTTCTCCACCCCGACCTCGCTTCTCTGCATCTTTCGGCGTGGAGGATCCGGTTTTGAGGTCCCTGTGTCCAGGAGTTCTTCCGATCCTGGAGGCAGCTCACAAGCCGGCGACCAAAAAGTGCTACTCAGCGTGCCTTAACCGCTTCCAGGCCTTCCTCTCCGAGAAGGGCCTAGACGATCATCGACCTTCGGTACCGTCAATTCTCTCGTTCTTGCTGCATCTTACCGAAAGAGGCTTGTCGCTATCGTCACTCAAGTCCCACTTGGCAGCCATATCGTGGAAACTTCAACGGACAGGAGAAGCTTCCTTATTTAAGGATAGCTCCGTGAGATCTTTCCTGCGAGGTTTCAACAACCTGCACCCCCCGGTCCGTTCTCCGACTCCGGGTTGGGACCTCGACCTCGTGCTGGCTCGGCTTGCACAACCGCCTTTCGAGCCATTGACGTCAATTGAACTTCGGCTTTTGTCGTGGAAGGTGGCCTTCCTGGTCGCTATCACCTCAGCCTGTCGGCCGTCGGAGCTTGCGGCATTGCGGGTGGACGAACCTTATTTTGTTGTCCACAAGGACAGAGCAGTTCTCCGCACAGATGTGACATTCCTCCCTAAAGTCGTGTCCCCCTTCCATGTTAATGAAGACATTGTCCTTCCCTCGTTGTGTCAGTCTCCCTCTACCCCGAGGGAAAAAAGACTTCATATGCTCGACGTGCGGAGAGCATTACTGTGTTATAGGGACAGGACTGCTCAGTCTCGGAGGTCTCAGAGACTATTTGTTGCATATGCCCTGGATAAGGTGGGCTTGCCGATCACGGCACAACGCTTGTCTCACTGGATCACCTCGACCATCGAGCTTTGTTACCAGCTGGCTCGACAACAACCTCCCTCGGTCGTCCGGGCTCGGTCAACCAGGGCTATGGCGGCATCGACAGCCTTTCTTAAGGGGATTCCCCTGGACGCTATTTGCAAAGCGGCCATTTGGAAGAATCCTCAGACATTTGTTTCACATTATAGACTCAATACCAGGTATACACCTGACATGGCCTTTGGGAGGGCAATTCTGGGGTCATGCCCGCCTTGAGCTTTACAAAGTTTTGTGTATCTTATTGGTACCGAGAGCTTCTTCGGTACCGTATATTGTTGTGAATGATATTACCATGTTGTTACTTGAATTCAACTGTTTACCGGTGTTGGTGAATGTAATTGCACCTTTACACTTGATGCCTTTACTGCCTGAGGCGCAGGCAACTTTGCACTATGGCCTAATGAGCTCGTTACGGGTAGTGCCTTGTGTCGCTATCGACACCTTGTTTCTTACAAATGTGTTTTGCACTTGCTGATAATACTGTTTTTGTGTAACTACTTAATGTGCCCTCATTGCAATGAGTGTCCTTAACAATGACTGTGTTGTTGTTTCCAAGGGTCACGAGTTTATGTTAATTGTTTAAGAATGCCCTCATTTATTGAGTGTCTTTCACTGTAGATTGGTCACTCTCACGTGACCGGGAGGATCATGTACTCCCATAAGCTTCATGTACTGTGCCCTTCTTCGGAAGTGATTACAATCTTTTATTTGTAACTGTTTGCACTTAATAAAATTGTTTGGCCCTTGACTTGAATAGTCTGTTTGCCTTCTTCCCGCCTCCG